GTCGTCGCAATCAGAGTCAGAATCACTACACTGTCGGCGAGTGGTTCTATAGAGGAGGAAGGGTGAAGTCATATGCCTCTAATATAAACAACGAAAACTTGAACACAACGCTTGAGGATGGAGGCAACAAAGTTGCCAAATTCCACGGATCGTATTACGTTGAACGACCAAACAAAACAAACGAAACAAAGGCAGACGGAAAAAAAATATTTGTGTGCGCATTCGTTTGGTGTGCCGCTTTTAGTAATTATTCAACAAATGTTTATATATTTTTGCTGCCAATAGTTTACTATTTTCCGTCAACTTAATCCACTACTAGTTTCACTTATTTTAAAACTTTTTATTATTTAATTACATTTAAGACAAGACACTTGCAAAAACTGTGCTTATCTGCTTATTTTTATTTCGCAGGTTTTAAAGCAGTTTAAAGAAAGGTTCCCACTTACATTTTTTGGTGTTGTGTTGCGTCCCAAACTGAAGTCGGTGTCTGTTGTTGTACACTGCTTGTCTCTGCCTCCCCGCTGTCCAGATAGCGTGCGCGCTAATCTGATAAGTCGCTGCCCGAAGAGCTCCAGCGGCTTCGGTGTTACGTGAAATTAAATTTGCGCTATAGCGCACCTCAGCCAACTGCACTCAAGAGGCGAGTTCAATGACGTTTCCGCTGTGCTGCCTGTGTTGACGTAGGTCAGCAGTAGCCACTTGTCAGATTGTTCTGTTGTAAGCAACAGTGGTCACAAGCACTTGTTTTTGTTGTTGGCACTTGACGTTTGTCACTACAGCCCTGTTGACGTGGCTGAGTTTTATTCACTTTTAGTTAGATTTTAGATTTTTAGAGATTTTTAAGTTTGTTTGTCACTAAGCCCTGTTGATGTGGCTGAGTTTTATTTACTTTTAGTAAAATTTTAGATTTTTAGAGATTTTTAAGTTTGTGGGTAATGACTAACGCACTGTCAAATACCACTGGTTGGGCGCCAATTATGAAAAGGTTTGCCGGCGGTTAACGCGCGGCTTTTACTAATAGGACGTCAGGCGGAGCCGTGACAATAAGAAGATTAGGAGTTTACTTTTAATGCTTTATTATCCCGAGCCAAGCGGAGCTATAGCGTCGGAGGCAAAATCAGAACTGAATATAAAAATACAAGAATTCAAACTTAGGAGCTAGCATGAAAACGAAACACATTGTTGCGATCTCATATTCGTAGCGGCCACGCAAATCTGCAGTGTCTGCCGGCTACGTATCGACATCCGGCATAATGCTTACGTTGCAGTATGCCGATGTCGTCGTATTTCATGCGCCCGTGGTAGCGACGTTAGCTTTAGTTAACTTATACACTTTATATGGTCGGAAACGGTTCCTTCTGCCTGTAACATTTCTTTCAATGAATCTAGTATACCCTTTTACAATACGAGTAACGGGTATAAATATTAAGTATTACCCTTTGGATATATAGTTTACAAATTAAATCTCAATATTAATTACTGATCCGAGTGAATGTAAAGTACCGTCCTAATCTTTTCTGTTCCGATTTTTGTTACTCTTCGCTTTAGAAGAAGGATAATAATGTTGACTTAGAACATGGTGAAATCTTATAAGGATATTTATGTAAATCAGTGGAATCCAATGCAGGAACCCTATATGTAACCCCACGAATTATTCAACAAAGTCGAGAATTTGAACACTATTTTAGTGGTATTTTTGATTTCATAACACTACTTTAAGCACTTTCGTGCTTAAATGCTATAAAAATAAAGCTGCATAGACTGGAAAAGTTTCAATTAATGAATTTGATTAAAAACCTTTAAAAAATATTATTTAAGAACAGAGAAAATTTGATTTACAATATCTTTCAAATAAAGCAATAATTAAAATGCCACGTTTTCAAAATAGCAGTGGAAAAGGAAATAAAAATCGAGATGCCAGAAAATAAGTAAAAAAAAAGTTATATCTATACCATAACGTAAACGTACCCAAACGCATCATACAAGAAAAACACAAGGTAGAATGCTATAGTCGAGTTCCCCGACTATCAGATACCCGTTACTCAGCTAGTGGAAAATTTATTCAGTTTCTGCAATATACGTAGAAATTGGGTAAAAAATTATGAAAAAATGGTAAGTCTTTTTAAACGTGTGGGTCTGACAATTGTTTTGAAATTTACAAGACTAATAAAAAAATGAAAAAATATCAACACATTTTTCAAAAGTCAATGCGTGAAAGTTTTGGGTGGTTTTCAGGCATTAGAGTGGGCGTGGTTCATAATCAGCATCAGGTTCTGCAGACAGGAGGGTTACCACTTCAATGTGATAATTGATCACATGGCACTGTAGTGGTTAAATAGCGTCGAGAGTCCGTCCGGAACGATGAACATCGTGGCGTATGCGCTATGCGGAGAACGGAAAAAGAAGATGAACAACCAGACGAGCAAAACGGGTGCATATGTATATTGGAAATGCGAGTAAATATAAAACAGGAGCAGCAGAACTATCTAATGACCGGACGACTGTTCTGACACATTCCACACAGGGCAGAAATCGAGGATGTGGTGTCGTGGAAAATGTGTGTGAAAACCACGACATGCCGACGACGTGACACCTGAGGAGTCCAAAGACGATTGCGACGGTGGCAGACCGTTACCGTTACTTGCAGGGCATTCAAAAACTTCCTGGAGGAGCTGGGAGTGCGACATCAGCTCACGGCTCCATACACTCCACAAGAGAACCCAACGGAAAGGGCACACAGTACCTTTAAAACAATGATCGCACAGTTCACAGGGACCGATCAAAGGAAATGGGATAAGTACTGGCCAGCTGGCAGTGAACACAAGTGTGACGGAGTTCATTCAGAGAAAACATTCCTCGGAAGGAGATGTTCTCGACATTCTCAAGAGGAGACATTCTCGGGAGAAGTCATTCTCGGCATACGGTGAATGCAAAAGGACACCTCGGGAAGGAAGATCCACTTTTCAAACCAATTGAATGGAAGTTAAAAGGACACCTTGGGAAGGTGTCAAACCAATTGACAAAAAATTTCAAGATGGGCAGGAAGGGTCCAAAGCCTCCGACAACACATCCAATGTGATCAACAAAAGTGGAAATAATCGACCACAATGGCCACACCCTTAATTTCATCACTATAGTGTTAGTGTTTCTGGCGATATTGAAACTAGCGAGGACCTACAAGCGATCAGTGCAGAGGCATAGTGATCATCCCCATGCGTTGGAAAGGATTGTAGGATTGCAGTGCAGTGACAATGATAGCCAGCAAATTAAACTCCAAATAATTACAGCCAAGAATAAACAGCCGCAAAACAAACAAAATAAAGTAGTGGACCTATGCATGTACATATATATAAGAGATATAAATAAAAATGCGGGAACTGTGTTCCGTCAAACTTACCCCATCTAATACCAGGCGATGAGATCTCGACGTGTTGGATCTTGGGTGTTTCTAGACATGAAGTTTGAAATATACACACACATATATAGTTACGTTATTATTTGTTTTTGAGTCTATTAAATGGACCGTTGTAGTAACTAAGACCAACGCTGAAACCGAAGTGTTGTTAAATAAAAGCAATTGCAAATCGAGTTGAATTATGATCTTTATTCTTCAGTGTTCAACTTAAGACTGAAAATTAAACGTAAGTGATATTGAGGAGAAGCCTCTGTGCTTAAGAAATATGTTAGTGTATTTTGGGAGAGCATAGCTCTTGGACAATTAGGGAGAGCATTGCTCTTGGATTCTTAAATTGAGGAGAAGCCTCAGAAAGGGCAGGCAAAACTGGTTAGGTTAGGCTTTGGGATTTGTTTACATGAATGGCTAAGTGCCGCTGCCCAAGAATTTCGTTATCGTTGCCAAAGGATTTGTTTATCAAAACGCATACTGAGCAGAGGGCATACAGTACAGGAAGTGCTTTATTGTTCATGGAATTAATGAAATTGGCCGGTTTGGGTGGCGCAAATACGTCACTATATATACGTGTATGGATAAAAACGATAACGGTATGTACATATTTATGATCATACACGTATGTATGTTTCACCGCGGCACGTTCCAGCTGTGATGCCGCTAGCAGTTTTTCCAATTCCTTATTAACTCAATTAGAATTGAACAAGACTAAAAAAATATAAAAAACTATCAAAATATTTTTTAAAAGTGTGGGCATGACAGTTTTTGGTGGTTTGTGGGCGGTACAAGAGGCGTGGCAACATCAGTCAAAAAATCTTGCGCTGCGTCTATGTTTTTGGAAGCCGCATGTTTAATCTAAACAGTCTAGCTTTTGTAGTTCCTACGGCGTTCATACGGATTGACAGACATTGCCAGTTCGACTCGATTATTGATCCTGATCAATAGATATTATATAATATTATATATATCAATATAAGTATATAAAATATATACTTTTATATTTATCCTTTTTCTACCTGTAACAGGAACTGCCTAAGGAATCTAGTATATCATTTTTTTCCCGAATAACAGATATAAAAATCAAAATTTACTGATTTTTTTTTTTTTTTTTAATACATTTTTTTAATAATTAAGAAATTGCTGCTATTTCTTTCCTAAAGAACAAAGAAATTAACTGTGATATCGTATGCGGAAAGAAAAGAAAATTTTCTAATAAAGATCAAGTTTGACAATTGAGTTCTACAAATTTTTTTTATTAAAGTATAATATATAAATTCAAAATATATAGAATCTATCTTACTATCTATCTTATATAAATTCTATCTTACCGTACTGCTGTCAGTCAGTCAGTGTAGACGTCAAGATATAAAAGAAAATGTTTTTATATATTTTTAATTTTATTATTTTGTTAGCCAATTTTCATCGATTTGCGAGAAGAATTTTAAAATGGGAGTAATGGGATCTGATAGTCGAAAAACATATAGCGTTTTGTATAGTATGGTTTAGTAATTTAAGAGATAATTTATTGTTTGTCGTACAAATTTGCAAATAAAAAATAAATAATTTACCAACAAAACTTACTATTCAATAGGTGTCATGGATACGGCATAGAGACTTACATCTGCTTACTGTATCTGAGAGCACTTACACTTCGGATCAGCGCTTTACTTCCATTTACAATAAGCAAACTGGAGATTGGTCCTTACAGGTAAGTCACATTGTTTTAAGCTATGTGAACCCATTATTTATATTCCTTGCGGACGGCATTATATGTTCAAATTGGACCTAACGAGTTCGTTTCTGCAAAAACTTGTATACCTTTTATGAAAACAATATAATTATTATTCTTGAAAATTATTATATATTCTTATTATATTCTTAAAAATTAAAAAACCGAGGTAGCTTTAAGTATTCCATAGTTCGAGAAACAATCTGGTATATTTGACGATGGCATTTGACGACACACGGAGCCTTTCTTTTTTTTGTGAATGATGGCTGGTGTATATGATATAGTTATCATATCTGGCCCGTTTCGACGTATATTCTAACTGTAAAAAAACCTTGCTTAACATTTCCCATTTCCCTTTCCAGCCCTGGTTTTCAAACAGAAGAGCTCGACCCATTCACCAGAATATTAACAAGAACGCTCAAGAGTACTTTTTTTTTTTTTTTTTATTAATGTCGAAACTCTAGTTAGAGTTACATCAGCCTATTCCCGAAACTCTTATTGGAGAATGTTGTTGACCAATTTTTGTAGTCTCTGCTTCCGACAGTTTTACTAAATGCATCCCTGAAAGAGTACGAACAACCGCTTCTATTAAATGGTGTTTTTATTTAAATGGTGTAAAAATGATTTAATATTATAGGAAGGGTTACCTTGTGACTGCAGCACAGCAACCCTTGGTGCACCATGAAAAACATTTTATGTGATTAAACTTGTCTCAAATCGACTGCACTTTAAGAAATTCATGCAAGGTCCGCCAAGACTAGGTATAATACATGTAGAGTATACTTTAGTATTATACATGTAGAGTTGGTAATAATAAGAATAGTTTATTACAATACATAATGTGGTGAGATAACGACAAATAAACATACAAGTATAGCTGGTATGCATTGTGGAACGCTGGGCAATAAGCCACAAGTTTAAATTTAATGTTCCGAAATTTTCTAAGTGCCAGCTGAAGCTGACGTTTTCTTACTCCAGAAGTAAATGCGGTGCAATTTGTTAAAAAAAAAACAACTAAAGTAAAACTGCCCCAAAACTATCCTTTCAGGCATTTCTGTCTAGCTCAGTTTGTTGTGCTCTGGAGTATATGTGTGGAACTGGTTCGGAGGCTATAATCTTCTTGGGCTGACTTGCACTTCCTATTCCAATCCCCGCATCCTTCCTAAGGATATTGGTCAACGGTCCATATATTTATAATAAGTTTTCTGAAAAAGTTTATTTATGGGAATTTTAAATCTATTTCCAATTCTTGTTATGTCTTAGATTGAACTGCATTGCGGTATATGTTGATCAGGTTTCGAAATATTTGATATTTTACAAATATAAATCTAATAATAACAAATAAAGCTAATGAATCAAGAAAGACGGCACAGGGTAACTATAAGCCCTGCTTACCATGCTTTTCAGTTTTCTGTAGTTTATATTATACTAACTCGTATAATCTATAATCATGCATTTTGTCTACGAAGACTTTCCTGGCTTGATTTGGTGTTGACTTAATAATTATTTCTTGGGTCAAACATTCATCAACTTTCTTTTTGACTGCATTTCCTCTTTAATGGACACACGAGATAGAGGCTAAAAATCAGCCAGGTTGAGGACCAGTATAAAAAATAGCCCAATCTCTAACGGAGCATCCGTACAACCTCCATGCGACCTCCAGATCAGCGGATCTCTAGGCAGACGGGCCACCCCTTCTTCGCTGCTCTTAGCAACAACTATGTGAAATGGTAACAATAACTACCAGAAAATTGATAATAAGCAACTACACCCTTTCGGAAAAAGTTCAGAGATAATTAGATCCCTCCATCACGATCATTAAAAAAAAAAAATGTCCTGATGCTTCGCACATACCGAACAGGCTACATGCGGCCCATCCGACTGTATTATACAAGTTATCATGCGGGCGAAGAAGAATTTAGTCGGGATACAGACTGGATTCTAAAAAAACGACTGTGAATTATAATAAGTTGCACAAAATGTTGAAATCCTTGACGTCAGCTAACTAGCGGCCTTAAGGTTAACGGTTTTAAATGATGAATGCCGTTAACATCGAGAAAAACACGAGAATAGCAAAGCCTAGAAGGCAAAAAAAAAGTCCGAAAAACGGCGTTTCTTTTCAGGCTACATTTTGATAAAACTGAAAACCAAATAAAATTATCGAATTAAAACGATCTTGAGTATTGTTGTTAGGCGATCTTGCAATCATTGCGCAAGAGCGCAAGGCTGATTCCTTAATGCAATACCATACGCAGGCATACTGCCAAACAGAGCCGCGTTGCGTGAAGTGAGACGGGCAGCATTTTTCACGAGATTGTAGCACTATAAAGCAATCTCTTGCAACGTGCATTAACAGCACCCGGCTGTTAGGTAGCGAAACATGAAGAGCAAAATAAGTACGCTAATATTCGAAAGACTAGCTAACATCGAACATAATTATTTAAGTTACCCGAATCTAATATAAATATGAACAAAAACTTAAAATTATTACCTGTTATTCCAACGGACTGCTGCGGAAACATGAGGTGCACAAAGCAAAGAAAGCTGAATAGCAGGAGGGCAATTCAAGGGCAGGACCTTGGACCCCGGCAAAGCGGGGAGACCGTAAATTAACGGTACCGCGCCTAACGTTAGACTCGATTCGGCCAACGAGTTCGAACGGTAACGGTGCGGACTTTGAACGAGCATAAAGAACACGCACCGTGAGCTAATGTTGCTGGACCTTGGAACCGAGCGTGCCGTGCGCAAGAAGGGAAATAATGGTATTATTGCGGCCTATAAATGGACGGCACAAGCGTAGCGTGTCAGTCAACGAGAAACCGAGCAATCACGACAAATCAGTGCGAACGCGAACACAGTACCACAAAAAGAATTCAAGTGATAAAACACATCAGGAGCAAGGACAATGAACGCCTGCGGATAAAGATCACAGAGCCGATTCGCTGAAAAACAATAGGTCTACAAGGATGAGACTGCTACGTTGAGATCCATATGGTAAGGATACAACGGTCAAAACTGAGGAGCCCTTCCCGGTGTTTGCAAAGGTGGTTCTGGGAAGAGCTTCGGTTCATCCTAACGGACGACACACCTTGCGGCCCGCCACCATAATATCCTAGGTTTCATTCGAGCCGAAATAGGTCCCATTGTCAAGAACGACGAAAGAAGAACGGCAAGGGATCGACGCCGCACAGCAGACGTCGAGGACAGACGGAGCGATCACTTTGTGTGATTGCCCGACCAAAGAAAATACAGAGTTTTAGATTCGAACAGCTTTACTTACAGACTATTTAAACGATAGACTTCTATAGTCCTAGGCTTCGGCTGCGCGGCGTCGCACCTTCGTCGTCCTTCCCTTGTTTTCGACAGCCAGTGCCGGCTCGACTGGGCTTAGGATATTATGGTGGGGAGGTGTCTCGTCCGTGGGTAAAGCCAACGCCCGTCCCCGAACCACCTTTGCCGTCCAATGACTTCAATGTCCCTTCTGACCATGCCAGGTTCTTCACTTTGCAGTGATCGTCCTTCTGCGTCCTGCGCGTTCTCACTGACCGTTAACTTGTCGACGGGTGCGAGTGATAGACTCTCTCACTCGCGGATCTTCTTTCGATTCCGGGGTATACCTCTTCGCCTATTTGAACTGACTCTCTGTCGCGCGGCCGCATCGAGACTGCGCCCGTACTCTGCCCGATTATCGTCTTGCACGTATGACTTACGCGTGTTAGCTGACTGTCCTGAGCTGAGCCTGCACCGTCCCTTTATAGGCCGAAGGGATCCCGTTATTTCCCCATTTGCGCACGGGTACAAGGTCCAACCCATGTCCTGTTAGTTCAAGGTGCGTCCTTCTTGTGCTCGTCCAAAGTCCACACCGTTACCGTTCTGCGGCCTTGGCCGGCTTGAGTCCAAGGTCCAGCGCGGTACCGTTATTTCAGGGTCTCTCCGCTTTGCCCGGGTCCAAGGTTCATTATTCCCCGTTTGACCTTGCTGTCCTTGACTGCTCTCGCGTTTCAGCCGTCTTCGCTGTTGCTAGGCCGCTCAACACTAGGCCGGCAACACTAGCAACACATAAGTCAGACCCCAAATTCTTGGTGACAATAACAACTTCGACCGCGGTTACATAAACAATCCGCCGATACCGAATTCGTTATCCCCGCTAAGCAACCAAATTGCTATCGCAACTCTCTTAAAAGAGCGCAGTCCACTTAAACATAGAAGAGAGCAACTTGTGTTTCATAGAACCAAATTCAGACAAGGGTTTGCTAAGCGTTCAACTCGCACTCCAGCTTTAGATTTAATTCCTTCACTTTACCTTTAAGATTGTCTCCGATTCAAAGTTGTATTTTTGTCTTGAAATAAAAATTATATTTTGTTCAAAACTTGCAACCGCGAACTCGTTATTGGCGCAGTCGGTAGCAACAAAGTGCTCCGAGAAGTGACTAATCCGCCATACAGCCAGTGCTGAACAAGTTTTTCAAATCACTTCAACTCGGTACCCCACCATATATGTGTAAACGCTAATAGAAGTGTTAAAATTTTAAATAAGTTTTGCAAGTTCAAAACCACTAAAGGACAACTGATGCCCCAGGTTTTGTGTTAGACATAAATATAGCCCGCAAATCAAAAAGCGTGATCGCTACGAGGAGTGACAAAACTTAAAACCCCATGGCAAAGTGCGCTGACTAAGTTAAACAACAACAACAAACAACACATCCCAACAGCCAGGTGAACCAGTGCAACAAGTGCAGTTACTGTCAGAGGATCACCTCAACCAAGTACCCGGTCAAATTAGACAAGTGCCCATATTCACTGGAGTGACACAAAAATTGTGCTCATTCATTAAAAGGATTGAGTTCATATAGCAGCTGGTCCCAACGACGGATATCCGCCAGACCCATGTATGAATAAGGGCATGTATTCTATCCCATGTATTCTAAATGCAGATCAGCGGTGATGCTCAAAGGGAGTCCCAACTAAGTTTGGCAAGG